ATAATACAACAATAAAATAACTAATACTAAATAATAATAATATAATAATAATAATATAATAATAATAATAATAACTACTAATAAAATAATAATAAATCGTTCTATAACAATAGCTTAGAACAGCCTGATTATCTGTTACTAATCATCTCTTCTAGTGTCTTAAGATACTTCTAAGTTTAGCACAAGTAATCCTTATAAAGAGTAAACTATTTGTTAAGCCTGACTAATACAAAAAGAATGATAGGTCAAATCTTTCCTACAACTAGCCTATCATAAAGCTCTTTATAGTATCAAAGAGGCTATTGAATTTAAATTCTATTTTTAAATATTTATTTCTTATTTTTAGTTATTTTTATTTATTTTATTTTATTTTAAATAAAAGATCTTCTACTCGACACTTATCACTTTAAAATTTGCTATAACTAAATAGTTTTTAGTAAATTTTTATTATAGTATTATACAAAAAAATGCAAGCTAATAATTTGGTAATATAAATACTAGATAAATTCTTGTATTTATATAAATCTGTTAAAATTAAATAACAAAAAATCTATTTAAAAAGATTTAAATAAAAAAATAATCAAATATTTGATAATGCTACTGTAAAGATTAGCTTAAAAAAATAGATATTAAGATTATAGTATTTAGATAAATAAAAACCTTTAAATTAAAGAAGATTTAAAAATATTACTAACTAAATTGCTAGAATAAACTAAAGAAAAAAAATATTAGACTAACTGGATATACTAATAAACTAGTTATAGTTCTATATACATTATCTGAATTGAGAATTAGATAAAAAAACAGAAATATACTAAAATACTGAGATTATATTATAAAGTAGATGCTAGGATTTGAGTGAACTCTACAAGAATATAGTAGTTAAATAATATAACTCTAACTATAAATATTGGTTCTGCTATAGCAATATTGAATCAATTATAAAAATAAGTACAAAAAGTTTCAAGAAATTTATTTTAAAGATAAAATAATTCTAAAGTTAAACAATAATTTGAATATTTAGATATGATCTAGTAATGTTAATACAGATTGCAGATTTAAAAGATTTAAAGTAAAACATCCAAACAAAGATATTAAGTATAACAATTAATAAAGAAACTTTGAACAGACTTCTTAAATAAGTAATATAAAAAAGTTACTTTTTTTTTTTTTTTTAAATATTAAGGTGAGTACTTGCAACTCAGGATTTTATTGATAGTATATTTAGCTAATAGTTGCATTATAACTACAGAAGGCAACCATAGAAAAAGTGTACAACTAGCCACTCGTACAACTTTAATTATTGTCTAATTTAAGTAGTCTGCCCAAAGGTTCTACACTAGCTACCATACCTGAAACCTACTTGTAAGTTCCCTATTTAACCATTCTGTTCCTATATCCACCCATCTACCTACACCTACCAAGATGTCCTGGTCGATACTGATACAAATATGCCATGGTTACTAAGTCTTTAAAACAGTTCACTCATATGGAAAACCTTTGACCTTGTACTAAACCTTTCAGAATCTTCTGTATCTCATTTTTATAGCTGATCTAATATCACTATAGCTAAGACCAATACTAGCAATCAGGGCATATTATTTAACCACTATGCCTTTGTAGAGTTCATCCTAATTCTGGTACTGACTTCACAACATATTCCTATTACTTTGATATTCAATTCAAGTTCTACCAAGCTCCTAAACCAGATAGCCCAGAAAGGCAGGTTGTAACTATATACCTCTGGTTTATATGTTTGCTGGCATGTAACTTTTTCTTCTGGAATTCAGAAATTCTGGTGACCTGATTGGTTTTATTCAGTCTCTTCTCAAAGGCCAGCTCTTTACCTGGTTTTACAAGTTCTAGCTCTGTTTCATAGGTCTAGTCTTTATAGTAGCACTATCAAAAGTTCAGGTTACCTCTCTACTCAGATCTTCCAAGTGAACTTTTGTCTTTCTACCTGGTTCCTATGATTTACATGGTCTAGAAACTTATCTTGGGTTCACACCGCCTAGCACCAGTTTGTGTTCCTTTGTATAACATTGCACAAATGCCTAGACCTTCTAGTTAGACTGGTATAACACAGGTTACAGGTATTCTATTCCAACCAATCATGGAAGACAGTTAGCCGTAATATAGAAAGAATTGCAAATTTTTATCATTACTGGGATTTGAACTCTAGATCTGCCATTTGGGGGTTGACAACCTATCCACTTCACTAGATCATCATACCCCTTATAAAAAAGTTACTTATATAACCAATTGTATACTTTTTTGTAATAGTTCATTGGATTACATTACCAAAAAAATTATTAATAAAAAATCAAAGATCAAAGAGGTCATCTTAACATCAAAAAAAAAACTTTTCAAAAAACTAATACAATATAAATTATAATTTGATATTATAAAAAAAAAAAATCCATATATATTTAATATTAACAATTATGTCTTACAAGTAAAATTTCATTCTAAAAATTTTTACTTAAAGGTTAAAAGTTAATTATCATATTGTTATTTGCATTTTTTTTTAGTGCAAAAAAATTCTGTGCCAGGTTTTGTTGATCATTATGGCGCAGATTGTCAATCTACAAATCATATTTCAAGGATCAGATGTAACGTAACATGATTAAAAAGTTCAAAACAAATGTTCATTTTGTTAAAGATTGCTTATTTCTTAAAAACTGCATAAAAAAACCACTTTTAATGCTCTAACAGAAGGTTTTCCTTAAGCAATTTTACTATATAACTATTCAGTATTTAACTTTATTCTAAACGCTAACCCGAACATTAATGAACTTTAAACATTTTGCTGCGTGACAGAATTTTTTCGTGCGAATAAAAACATCAACTCCCATAGACAGGGACTTTAACTCAAAAAAAAAAATAAAATAAAATAAAAATTGAGAATGGTACATTATGCAGCCGATATGCACCATGGAAATATCCGCATGAGCCGATAAAAATTCCTACTGGGGGGGTACTTTAGACCGCGAAATACGGTACACAATTTACAAATGATAATTCTGTGATTTTATTTATTCGTCCAATCAATAACAGTATTTCTAAGCGTCCAATAGGAACTAGCGCTAGAGGGGGGATCCTTTTATTCATAAACGTTAACTCATGAAATACTAATAATACAATTAACCATTATAAAAACTTCTGATTAATTTACAAGTCTACTAGTTTCGTCACATTTCACCAGTTTCGCTATTTCGCTTTTCTAATTTTTTTTTGCCGAATGTCGAAGCTAGGTTTCGCCTTTCGTCAATGGCGAAACCTCCAGGTTTCGCCTAACAACTGTAATCGTATCATTTTGGGACAGAGAATATTTGATGAACCAAAAAAAGATATCGAACGAGTATTAAAAGAAGTATTACTGGATTTCCAAATTTCAAAGGAAGTTAGACGTCAAAGTACTGAAATGGGTGTGCAAATTATGAAATATCGTACAGCAATACGAAAATTTGTGAAGGAAGTGCGGGATGGTAAGCTAGAAAAATGTGATAGAAAATCTTTACAATCTGCGCTTAATGAGGGTGGGGTATGTTGTTTAATTAAAAAAAAGGGGGTTAAAATTATTTATGAATTAATTTCTCAAAATATATATATATATATTTTACAAATAAAAAATTTAGAAAGAGGCTGTGGAAAAGTTATTAAAGGTCGCATTTTTGGAATATTCCATGAATTTCATGTCTGATGGAGATAAGCAAAGATTTAACTCTTTGAAACAATTAAGCGATCTTAGATTTCCAGCAGAGTGGCATCCAGCTGCAAGAACTATACAGCGGTATGCTCAATTAGTAACAAATAAATAAACAACCATTTTACAAAAAACCTAGCGTTTGATTCTATTCTTTCTCTTTCTCAGCAAGATCATACTTCATGTCGGTCCCACAAATTCGGGAAAAACGTATAACGCTTTAAAGTGTTTAGAGAATGCAAATTCTGGAGTGTATTGTGGTCCTTTACGTTTACTTGCACATGAAGTTTTTGACAGATTTAATAATAAGGGTGTTCCATGTAATCTTGTGACTGGAGAGGAAAGAAGGGTGTTAGAAGGGATTAATGTACCTTTGACGTCTTCGACTATTGAAATGGTTAATCTACAAAAACAAGTCGATGTAGCTGTAATCGATGAGATTCAGATGTTAAGCGATCAACAACGAGGATGGGCATGGACGCAAGCCCTTTTGGGTACTTAAACTTATTGACTTTCTCGTTCGGACATTTGGTCAATTCAATGGAATCTTATAAGATCCTCGTAAAATGACAATAAATAAATAAAAATAGGTTTGCAAGCTAAAGAGATTCATATATGTGGAGAGCCTTCGGCTGTGCCACTTGTTAAATCGATTTGCCAAAGTATCAACGAGGACATTGAAGTTCGGGAATATAAACGTCTTTCTACTCTTGAAATATGTCCAAAATCTCTTGACGGTGATCTTAAAAAAATCAAAAAAGGCGACTGCGTGGTAACTTTTTCCAGGAAATCAATATTCAGTCTAAAGCATGAGATCGAAGCAGCTACTGGTCTTCGCTGTGCAGTTGCATATGGTAGTCTTCCACCTGGTGTGTGAATATAATATTACAAGTTATTACTATTTTTTATCGGTGGTATACTTACTAATATTGAAAATTTTCTATTTAGAAACTCGGTCGCAACAAGCAAAATTATTCAATGATCCTAATAGTGGATTTGATGTTCTGGTTGCAAGTGATGCTATTGGAATGGGTTTGAATTTGTAGGTAAACTTTTTTTATTGTTTAACTCTTGTAAGTATCATTTGATTATGTGTAACACTATCGTGTATTAATTTCATTGATCAATTTAGAAATATTAAGCGAATAGTATTCGAATCTGTAAAAAAATATGATGGAATAGGTATACGACATATCCCCATTCCTCAGATTAAGCAAATCGCTGGACGAGCTGGTCGGTTTGGTACTGAAAACACTATTGGCGAAGTAACAGCGTAAGTGTTCGGTTGAATCAATAATTTAAGTTCATACAATTTTATTTGTAAATTATATTAATTTGTTTGCACATTTATTAATTTAGAATTGAGGATACGGATTTGAGATATGTACATCAAGCAATGGAAGCTCCACACAAAGATTTAGAGGTAAATAATCCATTAATTCATGGATATTATTCACTGTTATGTGTATATTTAAATAATTACATTGTAAATAAAAAGATGGCAGGATTACAACCTACAATGGAAATGGTAGAACTCTTTGCTCATCAATTACCAGATGTTAAAGAGTTTGCGATTCTCTTGGTAATTTTGATATTTTACATGATAATATAATTATATTCCAATGTATTTAAGTAATAAATATCATTTCATTTGATTTCATAGGAAAAATTTGAAGATTTAGCTCGTGTAGACGGACAATACTTTTTATGCAATTTTCATACGCAAAAGGTTGAATACATAATTAATTATTGATTGATTTTTATGAATAGTTTCATTTTTATATATATGTTTTCCCACCACAAAGCTTATTGCAAATACAATTGAACTTATTCCAATGACTATTCCTGAGCGATTCATTTTTGTTACCGGACCCATAAACACATCAGATCAACGTATTATGAAAAATGTACAAAAGGTAATTGAATCGTTCCCCTTGATTAATAACAATAAATTCTGGTTTAAATTTATGAACTCTAATGTTCTAATGAATAACGTTATAATTTTTAAATAATAATTTTTAATTAAGTTTGCTATGTTACACAGTCAAGGAAGGCCTTGTAATATCTCAAAAATTGTCACACTTCCAGAAAACGTACCTCATAATGACGAAATGCTTGGTGATCTTGAATCCGTTCATCGTACACTTATGCTATATCTATGGTTAAGGTAAAATAATGGTATTATTAGTTCGATATATATTATATTATTTGTTAATTGACAACCCTATTACTTTTATGAATAGTTACAAATTTTCAGATACATTTGTCGATGTAGATTTGGCTCGTGAAATGAAACTTAGATGTGAGACAATCATCCATGATGCATTGCAAAAGCTTAAAACTTCAAGGAGGAGACCTCGTATCACCACTAGTGTTCCGATTCGGATTAAAAAACTCGGTTTGAACTGAAACTGATCTGAATCCGAAATTCGGCTTGAATCTGGTCAATCCAAAATTTTTTAAGACAATCGATTGGTTGGCCAATTGTTTTAAACGTCATCAAAATATTAGGTAATCGAACTCATTTTGAATAAAATCTGTATCAATTGTTTTAATACAATAAAAAGTATTTATTACGATTTAATTATATTAATACCATGCAATCAAGTCGATTATCGTTGTGATTAGCCAGTGATCGAGACGTTACTCAAATTATTACGATTAATTGAGTGGTTAATGTGATTAATTGAAGGACGACTAGTTAAAAAATTCATTATGCGAAACGCAGATTCTAAATTTAGTCAATTAGAGCAACTCTGAAAAAAAAAGATAGCCAGCACCTCCAGATTTTATTCATCGAAATGGTAACTTACTTTTTGGTTTATTCAATTTCCAACTAATTAACCACTTGCCGCCAAATTATTTATTGAAGTGCTTGAGAACAACACTCTTAATCCGGGATCAATCCAATTTTACGGTTTGAATTAGAATCCGTCGGATTCAAATTATTCTGAACACTAATCACCACAAGAGATGTCAGAGAATTAAATACGATAATAAAAAATAAACATTTTAAAAATTACATCATATGCCAATAATGACAGTTGACACGATAAAAAGACTGGTGCTTCATAAACAAATTAAGAGCTCGTAAATCTAATTTTTATATCCTTTCTTTCTTTAACCAACATTAAATACATATAACTCGTGCATTATTATTTTCATTGATGTGACATTCTTCAAAACTTTTGTTACCAGAACAAATTGCATGAAAATTAATCTCGTTATAACAAATTCTCAATAATTAAATTCTTAATATAATGAAATTATGTTCAAACTAGTCGATAACAAATTCTCGTTGCACGGTGAATTTATTAATAAACTTTTACTAATAGGCATCTTCATTTTACAACGCTGGTCTGGGATCCGTGTCATTTCACTGACCAATTAACCGACAAGTTTATTCCACCGACAAGTTTTTTCACCAACCTTAACTCTAATTTAATCTGACCCTAACGAAAATGACCAGAATTATTTTGTCGATGAAATAACTGTCAGTAAAATAAACTTGTCGGTGAAGTGATTATCGGCGAAATAAGCACCAGCTGCTGGCGCTGGTCTGTGTATATATGCAATTATTAATGTTAAAGCGCAATTAACGACGTTATAAGAAATGGATTTATAGATTTAGAATAATATCTAACAACCTTTTTATTACAACTTTTATTTATTTACGTGTATATGCACGTACTAAGTGCTAAGTGTTTAATAGGAGTATGAGTCCATCTTATTAACACATTTAAGATTATCATTAATAATAGCAATAGATTATGATTACCTTAGTTTCCTGATTCATCCTATTTTCCGGTAATATTATCTTTATTCCTCAAGATCACCACGACTTTTTTTCTGCCGGATTCTTCAAGTTTTACTGCTTTAAGACGTTGTTCTAATAATGCCCTACGTTGTGCGTCGTCAAGAACAGGACATGGCAAAAAAGGAGGTACAGCAACGGTAAATATAGCAAATAAAGCCACTGTTGTAAAAAGAGACAATGTGACTTTTGATTTTTGTGCGGATGTTAGTCTTGGAGGTAATGAACGCATTTGCTAATTAATTAATTATTTATTTATCGATATTTTGCATTTCATCAAAAATGATCTGGCATAATGATAATATCTTTTTCACATGAAATCAAATCTTAATTTCTGAACACGTGCATTAAATTTTCGAACAACAGTCTTGCGATAAATTTTTTTAAGGGTAGGGGGCACGTAGATCATTTAATACAGTAAAACGCATCCACTTTTTATTAGTAAAAATTTTAAAAATACTGATAGATTTTTAGTTAAACTACATTTCTGTCAGAGGATTTTTTTTGGTTTTAAAAAGTTATAAGTGTTAAATTTTATAATAATTTAAAAAATTGTTACGTATAATCATTTCTTATCAATATTAACCTGTTTAAATTCATGTTAATAGTAATATTAATGAGAAATTATATTAAGAGTGTTGCTAACTTGTTTTCCGAGTGATGTTACAATTTACCAATCAGGTTATTGAATCTTGTAATAAAATAAAAAAAATAAAAAATCATTAAATACTGCAACATTTTATTATAAAACCTAATTTTAGTTTATTAAATAAAAGTTTTTAGTTTCTAATTTTGTATATAAATAAATTATTTTATTTATATATATAATGTTAGAGTAAAAACTTTATAAGAAAAAAAATTTTATATTTAAATTTTAAATTATATTTATATTATTTAGTTAGAACTTTTTTAATATATATAATATTATATTTTATATTTTCTAATAAATGTTAAATTAATTTTTAATTAAATTGAAAAAGATCTAAGGTATTTGTTTTATTATTACATAAAATAAAATGATAATAAAAAGTTTTGAAAAAGTCATTTTTTAATAATAAGTGAATTATTAGTAAATAAATTTGTAATTAGATTTGTATTAGATAAATAAGATTATGATGGGTAAGAAAATTTTAATATATTTGCTTTTGAAAATAATATTATAAGCAGTTTCTTATTAGTATTATATATTATTTTAAAAAGAGTAGGTTTTATTAAAAAACCAAGATAAGAAATTATCAAACAAATTAACAAGAAAGAATTCAGTTTATTTGTTAGTGTTTTAATATTGTCAAATGTTGTAATAGAAATAATATTAACAAAAAGATGTAAGATATAACGATATTGTGAAGTAGTTGTATTAAAGTAAAATATCTAAAACAATTGTTGTCAAGATGAATGTGATATAAAAGGTTATTAAAATATTATCAATTACATTAAAGAAAATTTGTTGTATATTTATATTATTTTTAAAGTATAGAAGAATATTAAGAGTATTTTCTAAATCAGAGTATCAACAGTAGGTTGAGGTAGCAACCTGTCACACCTGTTATATTTAACAAAATTTTAGTATCATTTGTATAAATATAAAAAAATTTGCAATACAATAAATAATGGTAATTGTTATTATATTTTATTTAGACAATAGTTTAAAGGATGGTACACAATTCATTTTACGTATAATTTAAAGTTATTTGCAAATATATTTGACCCGAAGAAATTATTTATACCTGGTTACTATACTAGGAAGATACCATAATCGGTATATTCCGCAAAATACGATATTTTTTTGAGCACTGGTTTCAATATATATATATAATATTAGGAAGTCTTGATACTTTTTTTTATTCTTATAATCCAAGTGATATGATAATTTTTTTTAAAAAAATTGAAAAGTAACAGTTTAAAACCTTCTGAGTTGCAATATTATTTTTAGCTTTAGTATTTGACAATTTCTTGATAAAAATAAGTCTGGAAATTTTTGGATAACAAAGTAAAAAAAAATAAATACTAATTTTATAAATTTGTATCAAGAAAAAAATTTGTGAATTCGCATCTTAAATTATATGAAGTCAAGTTCCGAAAACTTAACTTTATTTGTAGTATGTTAAAATTATAAAGTACAAATATAAACATTCTATTTTTTTTTAAAAAAAAAAAAATCGATATTGATTTCATTACAAATGACTACAAAATGACGCCAATAATGATTAAGGCAAAAAAAGAATAAATAGAGTTCGTTATGTAATTTGAGCAAATCACATGGATAATGGTCTTTCATATACATCATTACTATTCCCATTATGTTTAAAAACATCAGCCGCAACCGATGTGGAAGTAACTGGTGAATTTGTTTGACTTCTCTGCTTCTTAAAAGGTAAACTCAAAGATGCTATTTGATATGTTTAATAAGAGAAAAATTAAAATTATATTCAGCAAAAAGAAAAAAACAAGAATCACAAAAAGGATACATACCTAATCCACTTGCGACAGTGCCACTACCTTTTTTCATTAATTTAATACCTCGACTATTCCAACCTGTTTTTGCTTGATTTCCACCGCCGATCCCACCATCTCTAATTTTTTGAGCATGCCCTACAAGACATTCAATCATTTGATTATAAGTTTCAGAGTCCATAATCGTTTGTTCACGTTGATCCAGCCAAAACGTTAGTGCATCAGAAGTTTGACTCGATAATGAGAGTAATTCAGATTTTATACAACGTAATTGAACGTTTGTAAATGTTTGTAAAGTCTCTAAAGAAAATAGTTGTAAAGTTAATATAAACTTAATATAAAAGTTACAAAAAAAAATTTTTTTTTTTTGGTATTCAAATTTTTTAATTAAGTTACCTTTTGATATTGAACATAACATTCTAGCTAGATTTATATCAAGTTGTTTAGGTTCATCAATCTGAGTATGCGATATTTTTTGTTTTGAAAGATTACCATATGAAAGATTATTATGAGAAGAACTTGAAAAATTATTATGAGTTGAATCAGGTGTTGATGAACGACTAACAGGAGCTGATAAAGTCACTGGTTTGTTTGAAGTTGGTATAGGATGAATTGGTTTTGAAGGCAAGGTTACTGAAGAAGTAGTAGTCGTATTTACTATATATTGGGATTTCATCTTTGAAATGAAAATAATTTAATTAAATTCAAGATTTTTGGAATTAATCTAAATAATAAAGAATAATAAATACATCTTCTAAAGCATCAATTGCTATTCCTAGAGTCGAGTAAAATTCTTTTCTTATTATTGACTTTTTCCATCGAAAAGGTTGTTCATCCGATTCATCAGATATTTGTTTCCATATTTCTAAACTAATTGTAAATATTCAAGTTAGAAAAAAAGTAAAAATTATTAAGATAATAAAGGAAAACAACCTTGTTGGAGTAACAAATACAGATTCCAATCCTTTATTACTAGACACATTCGTTGAAGCTTCATTAAATGGGGTAGTATTCGTTACCGGAAATATGTTATCTAATACTTGGCATAAGGCTTCGGTTAAAGGTTTGTTGTCCATTGAAACAAAAGTTAAATTATTCTAATCATTATTAATGCATATAAGTTTTCAATTTAAAAGTGTAAACCTGAAAAAAAAAAAAGAGAACAATAATTTATACACCTACTAGAGTTGATCCACTAGAATTCTGTTCGGGTAAATTTGTTGCAGGTTCAAGTGTAGCGTCTTCGAACTCGGCAAACTCATCATTACTTCCATCTAAATCGGGATTATTTTCTATAGTTCCCTCAGTAAAATCTTCAAAGCTATCCACAAAATTATCAGCGTCTTCGCCAGATGCTTCAATGTTTGAAAAATTGTCCATTTTATCAACCGGTTATGATAATTTATAAACTTGAACGTGGGATAGAACTAACGAGTCTTCTTTATATCACGTCGGTTATGAACTTACCAAATATACCGATAACAAGCCAATCATATCAATCGTATGAAACAAAATGTGATGTTAAAAAATTTAGGATACGACACGGGAAAAATTTTAGGCATACACCTATGAGCATGCTCGAACTAGAGGTATGCTAGATAGAATTCTACCTAAGTTTGTCTATTTTAGTCTTGTATAATTTATACGTATATCGTCTACTTAGAATTGTCGAGTTATTAACGAATTCAGTTTATGAAATACCCAAGATCAAATAATTTTATCCTACGTATAAAAAAGTATACGTATCGATATATACAGTAGCCACCACAACAGCTCTCGATACAACGGACATTGCTTAGTACGGATAATTATAATGTAACCAAATTATGATTACACAGTAGCTCTCGATATAGCGAAGGTCATGGTTCCAGTCCTTTGTTCAGTTATCAAAATCTCATAATATATCAGATAAATCTCAATACGTATATCAGATAAATCTCATAATATATCAGATATTATAGTAAATCTTAATTTGGTTCCATTATCATTATCCGTACTAAGCAATATCCGTTATATCGATGGTCTGTTATATCGAGAGCTACTGTATACTGTACTATAATATCTGATATATTATGAGATTTGATAGTACGGAGCCGAGCCACTGTGCAATTATAGACTGATCATAGGATAAGTGAATCTATATATATGTATTTGTATAATTGTATTTATCATAATATAAGACCAGGGTAAGAATGTCCTTGTAAAATTAAATTTTTATTATATATGTTGTAAACAAATAGCAAATTTAATAGTAGAAATTGTCTATAGTTTTCTATAGGATTGGAATAGGGCTAGCTTATAGTGAAAAGTTTTTTATGTCAAGTAAACCTTTTCTTGAGTTTCTAAAAACTTTCATTATTTCAAATGCACTAAACCGTAGAAATACATTTACTAATTTTTGACTCTGGCCAATCAGGATCAGTCACGGGGCAAGAGCAGGTGTAACGTGAAAATGATCAAAATTTTAACTGAAACGTCACATGTAAATAATCCAACCAATAGAAAGTGTGGTAAAATTTTTATCCAATTAGATCGAAAGATCAGGTGTAATGAAATCTTTTAGGGTTAATGTTTTTTTACTAAATTTAGTGATTGGCCAATCAAACTAAAGAAATCAACACGAACCAGCCCGAATAGACGAAATATCTCAGAATTCAACTAGTTGATAATTTAATCGATTGTTTTCAACTAACGATTTGGATCACTATTTAGGGTTAGGATTAAGTCACGTTAGCGTTAGGGGGGAATTTTTGATTAATTTTTTTTGTGGGGGATCGTAACCCAAGATATTATTAATTAAAACGATGCATATCATTTTTTTTAAACGTACTAGTACTAAAAAAGCACACGATTTTTATCCAAAATTCATAAAATTGAAAGAATAATAATGAAATAGAAGAAAGTAATGAAAGAAATGATAACGACGAAGTCAATTGTGGAAATAACGGAATCGACAGTGAAACATGACATAATGAACATGACAATGAAATATTGATAAAAATTATAAATAAAATGAAGACCAGGCCAATTCATTTACCCGATCTCGATCCCCATTTACGTTATTTTATTTCGCAAACAACTCAACAAGGTGAGATTTGCTACGTATATTTGTTTAAATTTTAATTTCACTAATTGTAAAACTAAAAATCGTAAAAAAACACCGAGGTTGTTATTATCCCGGCTGTCTAAAAACTATCTATAATAATAGTATTTTCCCGTTATGTTTATAAAAAAAAAAAAAAATCAAGATACTTTCCTTAATAATTTACTGAGCTATATAATGTACAAATTTCCCCCTGACCTAAACCTCTCTAAAGATTAGTGTAACATATATGAACGATCGACAAAAACCTTCCATGGAATTTTTTATGATTATGAATCAAAATTTGGCGTTTTTTTTTTTTTTTATTAATGTTAAGAGAATTATTTTAGTCCTGCTATTGTATTGTGTTAAGAAACCTTACCTAAAAATTGATGTAAAGTTTATGATGTTTGATGTTGAATAAAAATTACGAAGAAGTAAATAATTTTTGGTTGCCCATTAAAAAAGTGCAATATTTTGAAAAGAAACTTAAATCTTACAATAAAAATCATAAAATAATAATAATAATTCTATAGTTAGAAAAGAAATTCTGAGATTAGTTGTAACGGAAATTTTAATTAAAAATTTTTTAAATAAGATTTTTTTTTTTTTTTTTAATGATGTTCCTGATTTGATGAATCTGAAGTTGGTGAACTAGTAGTCAAAATTTCTTTTTCAATTGTGATGGTATTATGAACTGTTATTTGAGGATGTAATTCTTGATTGTTTTTACTATTATTACTACTTAAGATGTAAATACCACTTGTATTACTTTCGCTGATATTTGGAATAGAATTCGCGTGTTCAGATGAATCGTATTGATTCGTCCAACTTTCATGAACAATATATAGTATCATATTTCCTATACCACCAAAATTTATAGCAACTACAGCTACAGTGTAAATCCATATATTATCATACTAAAAAAAAAAAAAGAGAGGCAATTTTAGTGATACAAAATTCGAGATAAATGATACACGTGACTCATGCACATACATACCATAGCCATTTGAGATATGAAATAAGCAACCGAAGGAATCCATTCTATAATGAATGTTAAAATATAGCCAATAATTTTTCTCACAACAATAAGATCAACGCGACTAAGTTTAGCAGATTCAGTACCGAGTCTTCGAATATTTCTTTGTTGGATATTAACTTCCAATAAGGTCATAAGATAACAATATGTAGTAACGAATAATATGAAAAAAATTAAAATAACAGTTATTAATGGCGTTATTCGATCAGTTGGAGCACTATAACACCTGTTAAATAATGTTATATGTAAGAATTAACGGAGCTCATAAGTTATTACGTATAAAGATGTATAAAGATGTATAAAGATGTATAAAGATGTATAAGATAATTAATATAAGACACATACCAAAATTTATTTGGACCAAAATCACGAATACTAATCAAGGTGAATGTTACAGCTACTAAAATGACGACGGAGAATAATTTATAATCATATATTCCAAAGTTAATAATACGTTTTCTACATATTCGAAGGTAAGTTGCCAAAGACAATGAACCAACTAAGGTCACATTAGATACGACAAAGAAGAATGTCATTCCACCAACTACTCTGCATGCTTGGCCTTGAAAAGTATAACCATTAACAACCGAGTATGTCTTATTTATTTATAATAGGTAAGTTAGTGTATGAATATATATAAGATTTTTTAAAACTATCGTTATTGAAGGAATACATACTAAATTAATTAGATTGATTGTAAATAAATTGAATTCTAAATTATTTAATTTATTTGAATTTATTTGAATTTAGTAATGAAAAAAAAATCAAAATAATTCGAGTATATTTAGTAATATTTAAATGTAAAAGATGAAGGACATACCGGAAATTGCTATATAAAATGGCACCCTATGTGCCATCGATAGGGATCTCTTAGTTACCCACCATCGATTCAATAACCTTGTTATAAGGTAAATTAAACTAAGTCCATTTGGAATATAGGAAACTAAGCCAGCTGGTATAATAATATCATAACCAGGTTGGTCTCTTATACTTGGAGGATCCGAACTCATGATGGAAAAACAATTGTGAGAAAATGATTTCTCAAAATTGAAATAAAAAAAAGATTTTTTTTTTTTTAAAAAAAGAAGGCAGTATAAATATGAAAATTTCCTATTAGTAATTTATGGTAATCGGAAATAAAATAATAAAACTTAAGTTATTTTTACCTAATTTTGCAGTTCTTATTGGTTGCAATGACAACTAATTAACATGTGATACTCCTGCTACCAATAAAAACAACACACCAAAGCAGATGAGCAAAGATATTCAAGTTTCATATCCATTTTGTTATTTTAGGCCTTTACCATTGTTACATGGGATTCGAATAAGTTTTTATAGTATACATTTGATTTCACACTATATTTAGTACTTAAACCAATTATTTCGATATTTAATATGTGAAAATACAATTCAGCAGATCTCGCTTAAATTTGAATAATTACTATAACGATAACGTTAGGTAATACGTAGAAATTTATCGTACCTTAGTGATCTACAAGATTAGAGTTTCGACCAGTCTTTAGATGAGTGTACAGGGTTACATAATGATTACTATTATATTTATGTAATATATTATATATAATGCATATTTTAATATTATATATGCAAATTTTGACTCTCACCATTCTTGGTCAAGCAAACATTCCCCATAATAAATTTGTTACATTAACTACCCTTAAAGGAAAATTGAGTCTAAACTGAATATGTATTTTGATGTTTATTTACATATATATCTGTATATTCCGATGTTTATATTCTAATGTTTATAACTATAAATAATATGTATATATTGATATATAAATATATACATATATGTATATATGTAATACAAATCTATACTATATCGATATATATACCTTTAAAATTAAGAATTAAGTATGGTTATCTTTTAATAAAAAATTGAGAACTTTTTTTTTATAAATTTTAAATTAATATAAAAATTAAAAATTACCAATTTTTTTTTCTTGCCAATATACTCTTACGTAAAATAAAGCATCACTTTATTGCTGAAATTCGGAAGAAGCTGCAGCATAAAAAAAAAACTAGAAATATACATACGGTATACAGAGAAATTATAAATTGTCAATGAAAATTGGTTTTGTAACGTAGATAGGATACATAGAATAGATGCATTTAATGCATAACAAGATTATGAAAAAAAAGATTTCATAAAAATAATGATTATTTTGATTTTTAAACCCAAATTTTTGTGACTTGGTTTATTATATATAATATATATATATATATGTGTGTGTACATATATATATATAAGTGTGTAATACACATCTACGTACGTACCAGTTACCGGATTATCTAATTATACTAAATTTAATTATAAACATTTTGTTAATGTATAGACGTTTAAAAAAAAGAATCCGAATTAACCAATTAAATTGCTTAATTAAAATTACGACCAAAATTTTTTACGTTCAGATGCATAACGATGGCAATTATATCCGAAAACTTGGCATCTGTACCAAGGAATCTTAACTCTGATATTATATAATGCATTAATCGCTTATTTAATTAACATATGAGGATCTTCGAAGTTATGCACTGATCTTTTTTTTGAAAAATTAAATGTTTCACCATCAAAAAAAAACCTATTTTCGGTGAAAGTTCCAGCCGATTTTTTTTTTAAAAAAAACTAAAATATAACTAATAAATAGACAAATTGTATTCAGAATAACATCATTGACAAATTATTGTGATTTTTTGGTTATTATGTATCTTGTTGATCCAGGACGGACGGAATATCCCAAATGAGAAGTATTAAAAAGTGCACTGACCTTAACGTGGCGAATCACTTTTATGCAGGAAAATTCATTGGGTTTTTATATATTGAATGGGCATGAAATTTTCCGACATAAAGTATCAATAATGATTATTAAAATTTACTTAATATATTGGTTATATATTAATAAATTTAAGAAACTTTTTAAAATATCCTTGGCAATGAGCTGCGAATGGTGTCGATTAAGCTCTGAATGGAAATTTTAAATGCAAATTGTAATAAGCATATACCTATAAGTCAAATATGGATTGACCTATTTAAATCTTGCAATATAAAACTGTTTCAACTTATTACGAATTAGCGCAATTAAATCTATTACTGTATCAAGAATTGTTCCATAGGAATAAATTGATAGATAGATAGATAGATAGTATGATACACATAAATTTGATAATTTATGATTTGTAATTATAATTACAGAGATACTCAAATTCATAACAATTGAATAGTTTCTCATGCAAAATTTACTTTTAAAATAATCTTGTGCATAATAAATAATTTCTAATTGGTAAACCTTTTGGTAATTATATATTTGTAAAGTTATAAACTTAGAAATCCTAAATCTTATACGAACTTACAACTAAAATGGAATGGCAGAAAAATTCGCATTCAAATGTTTCGAATTCAAATTTAATAACGATCGAATTATTTGTAATAAAAATATCCTGAACCGTTAGCGTTAGGTTTTAACGGAAACGAATCTCCGTTTGTGCACATACGGATCAGGGAACAGCAGAGTCCGGCACCTGGTGTGCAACACATATTTTATAATACCAGACTATTCCTCTAGTACATGTTATGATTATAATCCAACACCCGCTTTATTATAATAAAACAGGTGTTGGATTATAATCATAACATGTACTAGCACACCAGGTGTCGGATTAGTCGTATAATATCAACGTCTCTTCTGTAAGATCAGAGTATTTAGAATATAACATCAGTTTGGACCTTATTTAGCAATGGCTAGATTAACTTTAATATAGGTTAGGCATGATTATTAATAATTAATCTTTTTGCACTTTTTACATGTCTACGTGATCACACAATATTTTTGATCAACTTCACTAATCGTTGATCAATTATTGCATACTGTATATCCTTATTTATATGGGAAAGGAGACTGGCAACAAAGGCTGACTGTTCAAATTAGTTTTCAGTAGGGATATTAAAAAGTCCGGCCATTAAAAAAGTCCGTTCCCGAACTGGTTAGTAACAAGTTCTTGATCTAAGTTCTAGCACTTGCGTTTTAATATATAGATATAAGGGTCGTCTAAAGCCAAGTAGTAATTTATATGTGGCACATGATTTTACTTTATAAATTTATTAGTAATCAATTTAAAAACTACTTCAATATAAAGAATTAGGACTAATTTTGATTCTGTTCTAAATAGCAGAACTTATTACTTATAACTCTGGTCAAAATTGATAATCATTTGCCAAGTTCTGAATTTTTTATTTCGAATCTGGTCAAATGATCTGTAAATTTGACCAAAGTTATAGATAATCGGTTCCACTATTTAAATCACAGCCCTCATGGAATTTTTTAATTATAGTTATTGCAATTCTTGGAGACCAGAATTCATCATGGTTAGATCATGATAATAATATAACAGGATGAAACCTAAGTTGTAGATTGAAATCCGCGTTTTCTCATATGATTATCATAGCGGATTTCACTATTTTGCAACTCAGGTTTCACCCTGTCGTATTTATTAAAATATTAACGTTAACATGATTGATTTAATAAGTGATTTTTTTTCTTCGATTCTTTAAAGTGAAAAGCGATCGTTAATTAAAAGCATAAATTTCAATAAACACACTATTCTAAAAATATATATTGATTGCCATAACCAAATTTCCATTAACAATAAACGAAAAAAAAGAAAATCGAAATAAAATTATAAAAACTAATCAAGAAAATGCAATTGAACCAGAAAATTCTTGTATATTTTATTTTCCGGAAGATTATAATGCTGATTATTTATTTGAATCCAGGACACAACAATAAAATATCATTGAAGAAAACAAATAGTAACAAATGGCTCGATAGTATTAATAAAAACTTTGTGCCATTGCATAAATTGGAAGATTATAATCATTTTAAAAAGGCAATGGAATATTTAGAAAAATCGTAATCATAATACTTTCTGGCTATAATAAATATTACGTTTTATTTAGTTATCCGAAATAAATATTTTGTTGGTCTAAATTTTTTTTGTTGGTATTTTTTTTGAATTTTTTAGTTCTCAATATATTTGTCATGTGATGTTCGAAACTTTTTTGGGTTACCCCAGTCCTTCTTGGATCAGCATGAATTAAAATCACGATATTATGCCAGTCCTTGTAAATCTTTATTTTTTAGGTTAACGCAGCTGCGGTTAAAACTGGTCCACATGATCATAAGCAATTGAATTTGGAAAGCTAATTAAGCTTACACAACTTATAATATATATGCTAACTTAATAAAGATAATAGGAATATATATAGATTACAATTTGATTTAGTCATAATTTAGTCAGAAAAATTATCATCTAAATCCGTTGCTATATTTGTACTATAGAATGGTATTAAATGAATTTCTTCAAATATCAAATGATAAAGTTATAATTTCCCATAACACAATAAAGCTATTTTAAGTATAGACAACCTATTTATGTCAAATGATGTTGAAATTTGGTGATCGTAAAATTAACGCATTTGATTGGTTAGGGTTAGGTGATCAGCCAATGGAGTTTTAGATTTCATGATCATTCATTATAATAGAACACTTGAGTTGCGAATTAGTGAAATCCGTGTTTTATTATGTTTTTTATTATATAAAAGCGGACTAGGTCTCAGGCCCGGGCGTTGCTCCGGGAATAGACCTTATTTAATCTAAATCTCAGGCCCGGGCGTTGCTCCGGGAATAGACCTTATTTAATCTAAATCTCAGGCCCGGGCGTTGCTTTAAGAATAGACCTTAATTAATCTAGGTCTCAGGTTCGGGTGTTGCTCCGAAGCTAGGCCTTAAGCGTTTTTAATCTCAGATTCTGTAATAATTTAGTTAAAAAATAATATAATATTTAATTTATAGTTTTTTAGCTCTTAGTTTTCTAGATCTCAGGTTCAAGTAATGCTTTGAGACTAGGTCATAAGTGCTTTTAATCTCAAATTATATTATTATTTATAGTTTTTTAGCTCTAAAGTATAGGTTATACTTTAGAGC